ATTAATTAGTAAATAACTATATATATATATATATATATATATATATATGGAAGCCTCTACTTTCACATAAAAATATTGAAACTTTGGTTACAATGCTACATGGTTAACTTTTAATAAGTTAAAAGTCAACCGATATCATACAACCATTGTAAAAATTAAAATTATTGCAGCTACTGTGAAGAAGTTAAACATTGTTGTTGCCTGTTAACACAAATACCACATTATTTGAATACACTTTCTAGTTTTATTCTTATTCACTCCCTAATGGTTTTCAAACTACTTTGTAAGATACAGTTATTGCTATCAAATATTTTATTTAATAAAATAAATTGATTTTATTCTTTTATTTTGTTTGACTTTAAATTTAGGATACATGAAGAACATCAAAAAGTACTAAGTCTTTACTTTGAATAAGTACTCCATTAATAAATAAAATGAGTTATGATTATTCATTTCCCTCGGTTGGTTACAAAGCATTTGAGTAACTATGTAGTTATAAATACATATACAACACTTAAGGTCCCAAAAATGTAGTAAATATGATTATAAAGAAGTAAAACAAAACTGAATTGTCTGGAATAACAAGTATTGGAACAACAAGTCTGTAAAAGTGTACATAGTATTGTTGAACTGGTGATCAATAAGTGAATACATATTTTATTGTTTCTAAATGTTAAACAATGCAGTTGTATTGCATGTATGATGTACTTTCATGTACAAAGTTTAGGATTAAAAGTTAATTCCTACTTATTGTGCCTGAAGTCTGAAGACAGGGTTTTCTCTGGCATTTTATATTTTTAGCAACTTGATAAAAAATTTTAAAATATAAATTTTTAGGTCAATATTTTATGCTAATTCTAACAATATTTCAACAATTTGAACTCAAAAATATTTTTCAATTGATAATTTGTAATTTTCTGACATTTACTTAGTGTAATTCAAGAAGAAGAAAAAACTATATTTTCATTTCTGTAAAAAAAAAAACAACCCACTTGTTGATTTTTTTTTTATAATTTTTTTTCCCATCCAAAAGAATAACTATTTTTGTTAATAACCCTATCATCTTTGAACATATACATCATTTCTCAATTTTTGTATGCTTCTCTTAGTTTTTGTAAAGGTTTGGTTAAAACCTTGTTATGGTGCCACATCAAATGGTTTGATCATTTACTAATGAAATACAGATTTGAAAACAGTATACAGCTGCTAAAATTGAACAACAAGACAATGAATGTCTTATATAAAATTGCAAGCACTAATTCATGTTTTGAAAAATAGTCTGATACTATTAACAGATCGTTATGCAAGATATTTTCTATCAGTTTGATACATTTATTAATTCATGACTTTTTGAACAAATAGAACTTCATGAAATGATCAACATATAATGTTTCTAAATATTAATTTTTATAACTTTACTGTAAATTGATAATCATGCTTTGTATACTAAAAAAAGGCAGCATACTCTCCTTCACAATGCACTGCATATACAAATAAGATGTGTTTTTAAACCTGGATGTCACTTCCAGTATTATTTTAGTTATAAAGACAGTCTCTTTCCACTGAAAACATCTAATGTGGTTTATACATTTATCTCTATTTGTTGCAAAGAAGGTTATACTGGATCTGCCATAAAATAGCTGTGGACACATATGAAAGAACATGCAAATACAAGTGTATGGACCCTTAAGTGAGTATAACACAGTAATACTTTATTTTAAGATCTTAACTGGGGCCAATGATAAACAAAGCCTCATCATAAAAACAATCTTACTCATTCATAAGCAGGGGTCATAACTTCACCAAGTCAGTCCAGCATGTAAATTGCTAATTATATTACAAAATAAACAAAATACATTCATCTAATTATGTTTCATAAGGTTTTGATAGCAATCAAAAGGAAGAAAAAGATGGGTTGTTTGAAGCACTTCACACACAAAAAAAAGACATATAGAATGATGTTAGCATTTTGGCAACATGTAATACGACAAACCAAAATGTCAACTACATGAAAACTAAGAAAATCATGAATATTTGCAGCTTATGGAAAAGAGAAAACATAAGATAGTAAATATATGTGACGGTAAAGTTATTGAATTTGTGTGGCAGAGAGGAAGAACAGGAAGTTGATAATACGTGACTAAAGGGGAAGACAGAATATTGTAAACATACAGAAAGGCAGAACAGGACATTGATAATACGTGACAAAAAAAAAGATAGGATGCTGTTAATACGTTGTACGACACAAATAAAATGAGACAGAAAAGACTGTTGCTGTTGTTAATCAGAAAGCTACACAATGGGCTATCTGTACTGTGCTCACCACAGGTATCAAAACCCATTTTTCAGTGTCATAAGCCTACAAATGTACCACTAATCTACTGGAGTGCAGAAAGAAAAGAAGAACAGGCTGTTGGTAATATGTTACAGGATAGCACAGCAGAATGTTTTTAATGTGAGACAAGGAACCAACATCCCATTCTTCCTTTCTGTTTCATGTGGTTAGTATTCTATCCTCATGTCTTATATCTTATTACAAAACAAGTGACAGGAAAGAAAACAGATTATTGACAAAACAAGATGATGCAAAAAAAAAAAAGAGTTCATCAGAAGAACAGAACAGATAAAAAAATGGAGGACATCAGAATACTTGAAAGAAAAGATAGTTACTGATTGTAAGAAATACTATGAACAGACATGATATTGATAACTTGTAGGAGAAAAAGAAAGGATGTTGATATTTCATGAAAGTGCACCACTAATGGTAGCCTGCAACAAAAAGGAAGAATAGGATTTTTGTAGCTTGTTGCAGGAAAGAGGGCACTGTATGAATGTCAAAGATATGAGGAAAATAATCTAGTTAGCATATGGCAGAACAGAAAGAATGCGTCTTAGCCACTTGTGACAGAAAGAAACAATATATTGATAGCATTACAAAGAAAAAAGAATGCTGGTCATAGCTGATAAAAGATGAGAACAGAATGATATATTAATAAAATAGTATGACATGAAACAGAAAGGAAGTGCAGGATGAATGAATGTGAAAAAATGAAGAAAAGAGAGTATACATCCAGTGACAAGATGGTTCATAAGTATGAGTGAACAAGGTACAAGGAATGACATAATATTGGTACAGAAAGGATTTATAAGATGAATAATGAATGTGACAAAAAGAAAGCACAGAAAGCTGACAGTATGAGATAAAAGGATAACAGGAAGCTTGTAGCTGGTAAAATCTCACCTTAGAAATTATGCATTAGCTGACTGAAATACTGGTTTGTACAAACAAAGTGCATAAGAAAAGACAGTTGCACCTAATAAATAAAAGTAAAAATTTTTAAGTATGTTGAGTGACAGCAAAATACTCACGTAGTGATTAAGATGTCAAAATCTTCAACATCATCATTTAAGATTCGAACCCTTAGCTCTTTGCGTTCATCCTGAGAACCATGATAACAACGAACAGTAAGAGAGGGGCACCAACTACGAAGTTCTCGCTGCCAGTTGTCTAATATAGGGGATGGAAACTTGCATGAGATGAGCAAAGTCAAGTCTGAGCTCCAACATCCTTTTATTTTTTTAATGATTAACCTACTCAAATCAGGTTCACTAAAACCACATACAATATGAGCGTGTGTGTGCGTGTGTATAGTACTTACATTCAAAATATTTTTTACACAAAAGTAGTGTTAAAAATGCACACTACTGTTACTAGCTTGTAAGAATGTAAATTAATTATTAACTATAGTGTTATAACAAATCTGTACAAAATATAAGATGTGAAGATCATTTATGTATGACATTTCTAAATTTGAAAGATATAAAACCTACACCTAACATTGTTTATTACGTTTAATTGATTATGTAACAAACAATGAAATTATTATTATTTCCTTAAAGTGAAAAGATAAAAACAATGTCAATTTAAAGATACCAAGTACATACAAAATAATAAAAATGAACATCATATTTTTAATATAGATTTTAGCATGAAGTGGTTCTTGTGTAATAAGAAAGTTTTATATTGATTTTATTTTTCAATCATCCATTTAAATTCTGGAAAATTTTAAGATAGAAAATAAGTACATATTAATGGTTCATTTCTTTTTAAATTATACAATTAATAAACTTCAACAAGAAAAAAAATGGAGTATGGATCAAAACCAATGTAAAGTCAAACTTACAGAAACACATAATTTATACTTATTAAACTTGTGTGTAAATATCAAATTAGAAAAACAGTTTCAAAAGGTTAAGATAAAATATAATAGATGACTATTTAAGGAATATCAATCTTGTAATAACTGATCATCTTTACAGTAGCTTCTTAGACTGGTTGAAATTACACAAATTTTAAGCTTTTCTGGTCATGAATAATATAAAGCAAACATCACCCTACATCTAGTTCTTAGGACCTAAATGAGAGAATCTAACGAGTGTTCATTGCTGGTAAGGGTCTCGAGCTGTGTTAGAAGGCTAAATCTATTACCTTTGATTCTGAAGTCATTTAATCTACATTGTTCAATGCAAATACAGTTTCTTTCTTAGAAATTAAGATCCTAACTTGCCCCTGTCTATGTATGTATGTGTATAGATTATATTCACAATAGAAATACAAATGTATTAGACTAGGGGAAGCCTGCCCATTCCATGGACATATCATGTGTAGTTCCAGGGTGTTAATGTTATACATGTTATTTTTCATATTTTGTATGTTACATGGTATGATGCTTGAATGTTTCAGGAAACTAAGTCTTGTTGTACAGGTTTCATAGATTAATAAAAAGAAAATAAATAGTAAGAATGAATTTAAAAGTTGCAAATATTAAATTTTTATTATTATTAACTATGTTCATATGAAATACTAATAATATTTAACATTAAACAAATGAAATATTTATAAAACTTCTGGATAAACACCATTTTTAGTGCAAAATCCTTGACTTCCATCAAATCCTCCTCCAATGCATAATATTCAAGTAATCTGAAGAACGTACTTGAGACATTGCTACATGTAGCTGCCCTTGACAAAAAACAGGTGCTGGTAAATATGTTTTAAGGTTTACCCTTGACCTTTATTCATTGTAACAGCAAAGACTCGAAACTGCTTTCTTTTTAATTCATTTGGTTAGTTGTTATTCAGGAGTTATTTGAATTATTTAAAATAAAACACAATTGCCAATTTTATCTCCAGTTGCAATTTCACAATTAAAAACATGTTCTTGAAACTGTTGAAGTACACTCTTTCTTACCCTCCAAACTTGTCTGTTACATAGTAATTTATAAGCCTACAAACGTACCACTGATCTACTGGAGTGCAGAAAGTAAAGAACAGGCTGTTGGTAATATGTTACAGGATAGCACAACAGAATGTTTTTAATGTGAGACAAGGAAATAATAAGATATAAGACATAATACATCAACATTTTTTGGAGTTAAAATTGCTCTTTCCACCAAATACCCATGATTTCCAATATTGCTGTTGACATTTGTTATGTATTGTTTCAATCAATTCCTGTATATTTTCACTCAAACAGCACATATTATCTGAAAGTATCCTGAAAAGTGGCTTGAATGTATGCATCAGCATTAGTTACAGATCATAATTTCATGTTAGTTGCAAGATTGGATGTTACGAAATATTGCCATAAGGGTAATAACTAGTAACTTGCATTGACAATATATTCTCAAGCTCTCTTTGGTACAAATGGAAATATTTGACAAAAAATCGCCACCAATGTGAACAACTATTCCTCCAAAAGTCATGTTTACTTTCATTATATCTGTATGTAGTCAATCTACAACAGCTACAGCATTCTTATGAGACATTGCAACTTCATCCCAAATAATCAACTTTGTGATTCTTATCAGTTCTGCAATATCACTATTTGGCTTTATATTGCAAGTTGAGTTCTCATCACTATTGACTGGAATTGTGAAACTTGAATGTCATTAGAAAGGCTGCTATTCCAGAAGGTACAACAACCAAAGTGATGTTATTCCTACTTTTTGCTTTTAGTAGAATGATGTTATGCAGAAAAGTTTCTCCAGTTCTGCCTGGACCATCAATAAAAACACATCTTAGACCTGTTTACACTTTTTTTTTATTTACAGTTTACATCATTTCATCAAGTACTAACTGTTGGTCTGGATTTAACTGATTAACTCACTCCTCAGCATTTACTTGATTTGTTCATGCATTTATTACTAACTCTTCATAAATGATTTTTGATGTTTCTACTTCACCTTCATCTTAATTAGCAAATGCTTACAGCAAATTACAATCTTCAAGAGTCTTGCCTGCACATTCCAAAAACTTTCAATATCCAAAACGGTAGAATTCACCATGTTATCAATAAGTTGCAATGAATCGTCATGCTTTGAAAAAAAGGTCTTCACTGAGGTTTTCTTTGAAATTAATCCAAAGTTTTTCAGGTTCTACTGGTTCATCATGTATTCATATCATTGCAAATAATCTCCACATTTGAGAAGACAAACTGAAATGGCAAACTTCTAATATTTCTTGTCAAAATTCTGAGTCATCTTGTAACAATAATATTTCATGAGCAGCAATTTTGAAGGTGGGGTATATCTTCAAAGTATTAATTAAAGATAGCATCCTTGCCCTTCTCCAGAATGTACAAAGTGAACATGTCCATTATAGACTATATTGTTCTTCTGCTTTGTCCAGTTCTTGGAAATGCTATTCTACACACATATCTGTGATATAAATAATTTAGAATTTCATCTGTTGTTTGCTGTTCATTACTTTACTGACTGTGTTGTTTATTAAAGTCAATTGAAACACTTTCACGCCTTTTAAAAAGATATTTGTATAAATATTTGACACCTGTAGTACTTTAGCATACTTCTATGGTTATATGTGTAACATATTTCCCATATAAGTATGGATTCTTAGGAACAACCCATCAACTACACAATCTATAGTTTTCCTTTTTAACTACCACACCACTGTCACATCATCAATGTATTGGATAACTATTTCTATTTTCTAATGTTTTGTACACTTTCTTCTATACATGCACATAGCACTGCATTTCAGTTCTCCACTTGGACCATGACTCAAGCATGTGATAACTATACAATAAAACTAGTTGATTTTCTTTAACTGGAACTTCTGCACAGACAATTTTATCATAATCCTTGATCATCCTTTGCTTATCCTCTTGTAAAGAAATTAATAAAATGTGTCCACATTTTAAAAATTCAATCACTCATATGTGTGCATCTACCTGCCCAAGAATATCTTGCTCTGTGAGATGATCCTCTAACATTTTAACTTTTAACTGAAATATACAAATGTCACATGTGACCAAATCAGGTCAATCATTAGCATTCTGTCATTCTTCCAGATCAACTATGATTTCTGGCCACTATGGATTGCATGTAAAAGTAATAGACAAATCCAGTTTTCCAAATTTTCTCACATTTGTCACTGCACTTTGAAATAACATGTACATATAATGACCACTTCTTACAAATGAAGCAGAAAGAATGATCAGTTTTTCTAAAAAGGTGAGATTCTGCATTGTTTGCATTGACTGCATCTAATTCAAATGATTTTGCTCCATTTTGGCATAATGATTACAAAATTATTGGTGAAAAAATCTATCTCCAACTTAGAAGATATGATGAAGACTGAACTTGTAAATAAGATGAACAGGAATTTTTCATTATCATTCTCTTTATTGTATTGATATTAAAAATATTATGACAACATCCATCCGTTCCAAGTGGTAACAATAAAACAAAATACAGCAAACTGTATATCACGTGTTTCATCTTGTCAACTGTTTTCATTTATATTTTCATTGCTAGGCATAATTACTGCAAGTTAAGAAGTTGCTGGAGTATTATATCTTCTGAAATCAAGTGCAGGGTATGGGTATTCCTGAATTATCATTCACATAGTTTCACTGGCTGTTCTACTATGCATTCTTTCAAAAGCATACATGAAATGCTCCACATAAGGATTGTGATGGTAGAGCATTTCCAAGATTTTGCATTATCTGACAATTCGCACATTTTCCATTTGGCAGAGACATTCTCATTTCCAAACCTTCTTCAGTTTCATCATGAAAATAGATTAGTGCAAATGATGGAGAATGTTCTCCACTTGGTTTTAGTGGCCCAATCTTATAACGGAATCCACCATTAACCCTTTCACAATGGGTTGGTCAAAGTGTACATGTCACAACCTTTTACAGTTACATTCACAATTTAATTAAATTACTTTATTATCCTTGTATACAAATAAACTTGCCATCAAAACATATTTAATAAATAAGAAGTACAGAATTTAATGTATATCATTCATTATAATATCAATATTACTCAGGCAAAGCATAATTTTTCCAGCCTTCAATCTTATTTGTTTTCAGAGCCACAAACTAGAAAACCTGACCCACTTGCCACATCCACCTCTCTAAAAATTGCCAATAATTTTCTCTGATATTTTATACTATATTATTAAAAACAATAGAAAGC